TTGTTAAGCCGGATACATCTGGATATAGCAGCATTACAGAACTAGCTACAACTTCAGAGTTTCCCTCCAGGGAGTGTCAAAGAAACATGATGTTAGTAGCCCTTTTAGCGTCGGCGGAAATTGTCGTAGCATCTCAGCACAAAAGCGGAAGTACAAAGAAAGAACTCTCTGTCTATCAGGCGCATATACAACCTAGTTATATAGAAGGACGAGAGTTTATAAATAAAGGACTGAATTAAAACATAAAGAGGTCACCTTTGTCTCCTGTTGTCGCACCAAGCGAAGTCTCCTCGCCACCAAACACCAACAAAGAAGTAACCACAGTAAAGCAGTCGAGGTGAATAAGCTGTTCGAACGAAGATTCTGAATGCAAATTTGAACTTACATTGTCGATGGCGCGATAAGTTATTTGTTCCGTTGTCTAGGGAACTCGAAAGAAGGGCGTGCGCTTCAAAGTTCGTATAATTTAAACAGTTCTAATATGATTGATGACTCTCAATAGCGAGAAACCACGGGCGACCCTAAAAGCTGGAACAATGGAACGGCGGAACGGCGGAAAGTCACCCGATATCCTAAAAGACGGAATGACGGAGAATCCCTCGAAATCCTAAAAGACTTAACTCCAGGGTCTACAAATGTTATGGGTGTCGGGAAAACATTCCTCCCAAACCCCAGAAAAGCGAAGCGTAAATAGTTCCTCCGCCACCTTGGGACTTTGTTCTTGCACGACTGGAACTCAGACCAATCCCTAATCGCAATGGGGAGTTTATAAGGATGTTCATGAAGTCGGAGCCAGTGCATTATCACCCAAAGTTGTCTTGCATTTGCAACGCCCACAGTCCGCTGGATGCACATCTTCCGAGTTACATTACATACACATATATTTTGAAAAACTTTGTACTTTCTCGATTCTCGAATCTAACTATATTATTGTTTTCTAGTTAGCTACATCTGGAACAAAATTAAAAAATAATACTTTTACAGTGTAAAAGAGGCACGAACAATCTTTTTCAACAAGAATGCATTATGCAGATAAGGTCCTCAGTAAATAACTTCTTGTGGGTAGGTCATTATTTGATGAAATAGCCTCGTAATGACATAGTAATGATGTAATAATAGCATGATTGATCATGACATATTTTGAAGTAATCTCTTTCGTGGTCACTCGTGGTCACTCGTGAGCACTTTTAGACCCTATCACCGCATCGCGCAGAATTCTATTGTCTTTCGCGACATATACTTGCAGTGCTCATTTTTTCAATGCGCGGAATAATAATTACAAATATTAGCTGTCGGAATTCCGACTGCTCTCGTCAATGAATCGGCGGCTGTCAATCAAACGGTCTGATGTRTGAAGTAAATCCCAAGGTGTAATAAGCTAACAAAAGCGCTCTAATTTAAAGGCGGCCTGCGCTCTTCACAAAGACTTTTGTCAACAAAGTCGTGTGCGGCGCTTCTTGTAAATTGCCAATCCGCAGAATATTATAATGCGTTCACTGCTTCAGAACTTCGTTTACGCTAAGCCGGCATAACCTTACGCTTTCTTCAAGTTTTCAATTAATTGCTACTCTCTTAGAAACTTAGAGGACAGCAGATAAAAACTTGCGCTTCTAGCTAGCTTCTTTCAAAATATCAGCATATATATCTGCTGTTGTTGATTCTAATATATAGATTTAGGCCAGCCTAAAAGCTTAGCTCCTGGGCCGGGTTGTTCAGAGCCAAATTAAGCTAACC